CTTTCCATGAAGGAATTTCTTCCTAATGTCCAGCCTAAACTTGTCCTGTTGCAACTTGAAACTGTTCCCCCTGGTTCTGTCTCTAATTACCTGTGAGAAGAGACCAGCAACAACTTCTCTACAATGTCCTTTCAAGTAATTGTAGAGCATGATGAGGTCCCCCCTCAGCCTCCTCTTCGTCAAACTCCAGCTCCCTCAATCACTCCTCATAAGATTTATTCTCCAGGCCCCTCAAGAGCTTTGTTGCCCTCTTTGATGTTTCATCTCTCTTAAAGACAATGAGATGTTGAGCTCTTCATGTGCAGAAAGTTGCTCAGTTCCCCTTTTTTTTTCCCTCGGCAAATTTCTGCATTATTTGTGAGCCAACCACTTGTTATCCAGCTCCTAGCTGTATAACCAGGCAGACACTCATTTCTGACTCTGAGCATAAGATAGTACGGCTGTGGACGCTAGCTTCCAATGGGGGTCTTTTTTTTTTCTTTTCTTTTAAAAGAACTTCAGAAGAACTGGACTAGATGATCTTCAGAGCTCCCTCCCAACCCCTACCATTCTGCCATGAAAATGGATGCTGGCCCTTTAAAGACACTGAATGACAGTAACTGGACAACTGGTCTCCAGTCCTGACATGGGCAAAAATCCCTCTCTCTCCCTGGTGTTCATATCCAGAAGCTGAAATACATGAGATCATACTAAAAGGAGTTGTCCTCATGGAAGAAAAACATTCTGCAGACCAGATCATCTCCAAGACATGATCACTGCCTGCACAGCAGCACTCAAAAAACACTGGACAAAGCTGAGCTTGGATGTTGAGCATGTAGATGATACTGATAGAAAAGTTATCTACTGTCTATTAAAAAAAAAAAATCACTATATTCTCCCTTCTAAGGGATGTTATTACTCAATAATTGGCCTCAGGCCAGCTTCCAAGAGAGTAGTGAGAAGGTTATTTTTGCAGAAACACAAATAACAGCTGTCCCTTGTCTTGGCTGCCACTCTCTCATTCACTGAAGTCAAGCCATGGCCAAACAGAGCTTCCCTGCCTGTGCCAGCTGCTTTACTCCTCCCTGCCTTGTGCTCTACTCCTGCCTTAAAGCAGACAGTTGTATCAGCCAGCATGGTGGAAAAAAATAACCCAGAGACTGTTTGCCTTCATTCCTAGGAGGAAAGACTGACTTAAGTCAGAGGTGGATAATTACACTTACTGTCCCAGATTTAAGCCACGAGAAGGTGGACAGGAAATCTTCCTTGGTCAGTAGGAATTTACGGTCTGTGTTCTGCTTTAGTCCTCCTGAAAAATAGGCAGGTTTCACTCAGCCAGCTTTCCACAGGCAAACTGTATGTCAGAGCCCACACAGGCACCAGGCCTGAGGAACAGGACAGTCATGCAGCAAAAGCCGTCAAGCAACCACAGACCTTACAGATCGTTTCTTTAGAGAGACATATAAAACCTGTACCTCTCAAAATATAAAATGATCCCTCAAGGTCTATTTGAAATGCTTTGGCCACTTTCCAGAGTTCCTCAGACTTCTTATTATATAAAAAGAAACTGAGACAATCATCATAAGATGATGAATTCCATACAGTGGTACCTGGGACCACAGTCCAGGAGCTGTGGTACCAAGCGCTGCCCTGTCCCAGTCTTCAGTTCCTGGTCAGCAAGACTCCTGTCTCCAGAGTCACCAGCAATTTTTACAGTGAGTTATTTAAGGGCAGCCCCAAGGTAGAGGGATGAAGGTTAATGGGATATTTGGACATTTTTAAGGCACTATTCTTGTGGGGGAATGTGTGTGGGAAAGGAAGGATATGCAGGTGCTGGGAATTAGCTCTCATCAGAGAATTGTCCCATTCCACCTGAGGCTTAAATGGCCTCTTGCTCCACAAAAAAGTGGAATGGTAGTGTGGTTGGGTTAGTTCTTCTGGGTTTCTTGGGCTGAGGACTTCTCATATGGAAGTGAGTTTATCTGCTGGGTTTGGAGTTTCATAGTCCTGGAGTACCTGTGGGTCAGACCAATAGGCCTGAAATCCAATAGCCTGAAGAAAAAGAGCTGTTGTAGGAATCTGGCTGGGCACACTGGGCAGAGCTGTGAGGGCAGCTGCTTTTGCGCTACTCCTGCCATATGCGAGATGGATGACAGGTGCACTTTGCATCTCACCTAGATGCAAAAGCAGTGAGGCCAGGGGCTGGATCTGAAGTCCCTGGTCTTGCCTGTCGGCTGCTGCTTTTTGGCTCTTGCACAAATAGCACAGGGAACCTGAGAAAGAAGCTAACATAGCCATGCACAGGGTCTGCAGCTCTTAGGTACATGCTTGGGGAATGTGGTGAGAAGCATGCGTTGTATATTTGCAGGCAACAACACTTGAGTGCTCTGAACTCACAAAGTAAAACTTTTTGTCGTCTGTAAGCATGGGTGCTTCTCATTGCTTGGAGTTGTTGCCATGTCCAGGGACAACACTTAAACCTCCAGCCCCTGCTGGCATGTAACGAAACAGGAAAGATAGATGTCTTATTTTATCTTTTTCTTTTTTTTTTTTTGCCCCTCAGGTTAGGAAATTGCTGAAACTTCTTTCTCCTTAAAAATCTGAAGTAACTCTTGCTGTGAGCAAAGACTAAGAGTGTGATTCAGAAGGTCTAAGGGGAAAAAATCAGATTTAGGATGGTAACCTTTACACAGTGTTTGCAATAGGGTCACCGGCACTTCCTCTGGCAATGACAGTTCTCTGGTATTCTTAGCTTGAAAGAGCTCTATGGCACATTTAATCATAGCTCTGGAACTAGTACCTGTTAGGAGGCTGATAATTACTCCCACAGCTATTGTGCTAATTGTCCCAAGTGTGCTGAAGTAGAGATACGACAGGGAATAGAAGTTGTCTGCAATGGCAGGCCTGAAAAAGAACAGGAAAAGTATTACACTCTCTTATTCCAAGCAACTTGAGAATGTGGTCTGTTTCCAGACGGTAAGTAGAGAGTTACTTCTGAACCAAGTGACCTGGTAGTCTTGAACTAACTACTTCCATATAATAAAAAATGCATTGAAAATTTGTTTTCAAATTTACAGGACAAGTTCCTTCATATGGGAGGAGAATGGTCAGTACGGTGAGGCAATGGATAGGAAGAGCAAGTTAAACAGGACAGTCTGGTCTCTTCCATTTAGTGTAGAGCTGTGCACTCCAGCTATGGAGATGAAAGGATAACTTCTTTAGAAGGGAGAACATAATCTGAAGGAGATGGCACACCCACAAAAGAAAAAAAAAAATAAGAAATGGGTCAGATCTAGCTCTTATCAGCCAGAAACAAAAAGGCAACTGCCACACCTCAGGTTATGCCTTATTTTCTTCTCTCTGACAATGGGCTCTGCTGCAACAGCTGCTTCCCAGCAGACACGAAGGCTCCTGCACTGCTCGTGCAAGAGGTGTAGCATAAGAAACTCAACATTGGGCATCCACGTGTGTACCGGGCTACCTGCTGATTGTACAGTGCTCTAAGGTGTAAGGACTGGGAATCCCTAGAAATGCACTGTTCAGCTGCTCTGTTCCTGCTGTTTCCTACATTGTCATGCGTAACCATTATGCTTACCTATGGTTGTCCAGGGCAAGACGTGGTAATCACAGACGGGAGAGAATCCCTTATATTTTGCCTGTTACACGGATTATGCCCTCTTCTGAATTTCATGAATAGAACTATTTCTGCACAGATGAGCTGTTTTAGGTAGAGCTGTTAAACTGGCGAATTGCCCTTTAAGTGCCTGCTACTAATTCATGTGACAGTGTGGAAGTTAATACAATAACTATAAATGTTACGCTTTCTTTAACACTGTGGTTCTCGGTAAGGCATGTCCAAGCCTTTAAGACTCAAATACTGAACTCAAGCTTTTCAGATCACTAGAAAGATTCACTTTGACTTCTGTTCTGGGATAACTTAGACAAACATCACTCTGACAGAAGAAAAAAAAAATTCAGAGAAAACTGCTTCATCTTAAACAGTCTAGCAGGTAAATCAGGGAGGAATGGTTAGAGTAACTCAAATTCTAGGTAGATGTTCATGTGGCTTTAAAACAAAAACATACTTTGTTGGCTACACGTGAGGAAGTTGTATACCTTTCTGCAGCTGGTGCTTTGAAACCTGTTGTGAATGGACTTGTTGTTGACATCAAATTTCCTGAGGACATATTACAGCCTTCCACTGAGAGATAGAGTGGCCTGGTCTTCTCTGGGAGTGGAGGATAAACCTGAGACCCAAGTCCAACCCAAAGTGCCATAGTAAAGCCACTGAGAAGACCCACAAATGCACCCTGAAAAGCAGAAAATATAACATGGATTTACATGGAAAGCAAAAGGATACTTAAAAAACCCACCCAAACAACCAACCCACCTAGATGATTAGGAAACAATTAAGATGAAACTAAACTGAGTATGCTCCATAGTGAAAATGTAATACACAGTTGGAGAGAGCTGGGTAGTCTACTTCATCTCTCTTTTGGGAAATACAGTATTTACTGGCAGCTCCTGATCACACCTCTCTTTATTTTGCTGCTATGCCTTTGCAATCAAAGGATACCTTTGGGCTGCCTGGTACATAGGAAAATACTGCTTTTCTTGAGGCCCTCCTTGAACAAATACAGAAGCAATTTTTCTCTTTTCTCATGTGATGTTTTTGCAAAAGTCTCTTCTGCTTCACAGTGGGGTTATTTTTGGCTGACAGCTAATGATTTTTTTAGTGGCTTTTTTTTAGCTCATAAAAATTTGCAAAGAGGCAAATGTTAGTGATAAGTGAACCTTAATAAAGAGCAATCCTGTCAGAGTAATTCATGGATCAAATTCCCAAAGTTTGTCGAATCTGATTTTTGATGTAATAGCTTTTATCCTCTGGAAAGGATAATTTTGCTATAATGAAGCACTCTGAAAATCACACCCATTCAGTCTACAAGTGCTTGCAACCCGTTTTCTTGGCCTGACCCCCTTTTGCTCAGACAGGCCAACATCCTCCGAGTCTACTGGCTGTTCAGCTACATCTCAAGACACATTCTTTCCTGCTTCTAAAACTGTGTTTTCCACAAATTCTTGCCAAAGTTTCATTTCTATTCATTTTTTTTCCTCTCTCTGGTCAGGTAAATCTCTTTGTGGGAGGGAAATTCTAGTTCCCATACAGCCCTGTTTATCACTTCCTTGTGATAAGGAGGAAAGGGAGCAAGGGGAAATATCCTCACGGACATCACTCTTGCCTACCAACATAATAACATTATTGGACAGAAAAGGGGAAGGAGGCACCCAAAATTATCCATGAATTTTGCATAAGAAAGGCTTTAAATTTCTACTTACAATTTCATTTACAAAGGGGAACAGGATTCCCAAGCTAAACAGTCCTAAAAGGGGGCCACCAATCATGCCAAAAATGCTGAGCGCTGCCTGAGGAAGAAAAAGAGTCTGCTGTTAGGTGTTGTGAAAGGAAGTTAAAGCCTCCAACATGGCAAGAAGAGAAGATGCTGAGAAGGAAATTATGGTGGGTTTGTTTTTTTTTTAAACTGGTGCAATTTCAGCTGGCAGGACTTGGTACAGTTACACGCTTAAAGCAGAGGCTAAGCCATGGGCTGTTTGAGGCCACTACCCCAGAAAGAATAAAAAATAATCTGTTAATGGTATCCAGCAATTATTTTCTTACATAATTCATTCCAAGTTGTTCAACGTGGGCATGAAAAAGCAGTGTGACACCTACCTGCAACATTGTTCCCATGAGAGATGCCAGTCCAGCCATACCAATGCACACTATGCCATAAAACAGGCCTGTGTGGGAAAAGCAGAGCGATGCGTAAATTTGCCAAAGTTTGAAAATCACTAATGGAGGTGTTTCCATCGAACCCAGCATGGCCTCTGCCATCTGCAAACAAAGCTGTTAGCACCTGGGTTTTTTTCCTAAGAGAGCCTGAACTGTCCAAAAGGTCAGGTTTCTGTTTGCACTGAGAAGAGATCACGAAAACCTGACAAAATCCTCTTCCTGTGTGTTACTAAAGATTAGTTACTCCATGGCAGCCACACAGAGTAGCCATGCTGGCCATACCACACGTACTGTTTGTATTTCTCAGGTAATCTCCTGTGTCATGAGCCTTGTTTTGAGGGAATGATTTTTGCTTCTCAGTCTAAAGACTTTGGAGCAAGAAACTAAATGCTGGTGGATTATCGGGAGCTGGCGCCACAACAAAGAACATCCTGCATCACCAGGACATAGCATCTCTTCCTGGGACCCATAACACCAGCTTATTTGTCTTTTTCATCTCTAACCCTGTTGAGTTTCACTGCACGCACAATAGATTAATCTTTATTTAATACGCTGTGTGCCAGGCAACTCATGAAAAGGCCAACAACAGTTTTGGAATAAACGTTGCTTGCAATACTGTTTAAGGAAGTGCTTGCAGGTGAAAATGTTTAATACTTGTTACCTGGCACCAGTCTGCTGTGCCCCCTGGTATGGGCCATGGGCCATCATGTTGGGATTGTAGTTTTTCCACGCTTATTACAAACTCTGTATTGGGCTACACTTGCAACTGGCCACAGACAGCACAACTAGCACAACTAGAGATTTAAACATTCTGCTCAGCCTAGTTCTGACCCTCTTCTTTGAGCTGCATTAAATGGAGGAGCTGAACAGACTGAGGGTCTGAGAGTATGTCAGAGAATACCTGAAGTTTCTTGTTCTCTGCAACGTTATCGGGACACAATGCTATTGCTTGTTTATTGCTCAGTTCAAAAGGTTTGTTAAAAAATTGCTTCCTGTGCTTCTCAGTTTTGGCAGGTGGATGAAAAAATAACAGCTGTTTCAGTCTGAGACATCTGGCTTTGCAGTACTGCAAGTCAGTACTGAATACAGACACAGTGCCTGTTTCCTGCCTACAGATCAAACAAGAGGGCTTTCTTTTTTTCCTTATGCTCACTTGAAACAGCTTGTCCCCCATTCTGTGTAAAACCTACGCAGGTGATCTCATCTCCCCCAAGTACTGCACCAATGTAATCCTGTTGGTGTGAATGTGCTTCCTCCTGACTTACACAGCCATAACTGAGATCTGAATCAAGCCCATACTTTATAAATCAGAAGTGGAAAACAGAGTTTCCAGACATACTCATCCCCATAGAAATCCTTGACAACGTCCTTTCAGAGAGGGATCTGACGTGCGGCTTAATGAGGTCTTCGACAGTCACGGCAGCCAGAGCGTTGATGCTGGAGGACACGGTACTGTAGGAGGCAAGATTTATACATGTTTGTTTGCTTTTTTATCTTAGAAGCTGAAATCATAGATAACAGATGGGTTAACTGCCAGAGAGAAAATGCCCCTTTCTAGAACAGTGTCAGAAAACTGATGTAACTGCTGCACTGGTTGAAGTGACTTATTATTCCAGATGACGCAGTTAAGAGCTTACAAGAATTGTTTAAAATAATTGCTTTTAGTGAAGACAAGGCAAATCTTGAAGAAAGGATGGGCTGGAGAAGTCAAAGAAAATATCTACTACATGTGGCTAAGCTGTAAATACTACTGGTATACTTGATACCTTCACAAATTATCTACACGGTATTTGTATGTGTAAGTAAAATTTCTATATGCAGGTCAGTGATTACTTTGCATGCACTCTCAGAGGAGGATTCAGATAATCTAATTATAGTAATCTAAAAATTAGGCATGTAGTCCAAACTGAACTACTCCAGGCTCCCTCAGGGGTCTGAAAAAACCAGCACTTCTAAGGCACAAAGCTGCTCAGATGACCTTGGATCAATGTGTACCTTGCTCTTGCAAACCACCAGCTTTTCCTCAGTGCATGGAAAACAAATACCCTGACTGTTCCCTATATTTATGTAGCTACAAGCACTCAAAACAAATTCTGGTGTCATTCTCAAGTTTCCTCATATTTATCTGTTGACTATTGTTCAGAGCCTTCCTTGAGAGAGGCAACGTTTCCTAAAAGATGCTCCTTGGGAAAGCTGAACAAAACACTCCGCACGATGAAATAAGAAGGGACTGAGCTGTCTCCTTCAGTAAAAATATATGGTGATTGTTGTTTTCATGGGGTTCATTCAAGACAATTAGAAGTCTGGGAACTCTTTTGTAAACAATACTCTAAAGGTCAGAGATGAGGAAAAGGAGATGGTTTTACAGATACGCAGGTATGAAACTGGAAAATCAAAGATGAGCAGAAGGAAATTCCCCCAAATTGTAGCTATTTTGTGTAACCACTCATTCATAATATTTAAAAATTCCTATAGCAGAGGCGCTTTAAAAGCACTGGGAGGTGGATTTCCTAGTGCTCTGCGTCGCCTGTGGCTAGGTGTTTCCTCATGTCGCTAATAGGGAACACCAAAAAGCTTTGAGTCTTAGGACCTGAGTGTCATTTTTAAGCTGCATCAGCATGGATAGTGGGTTTTTCTGAACAACAAAAATTAGCTAGAAAAAGAAAAGAAATGCTGAAGTTTTAGTATAGATGAAACTTTAACGAGAAAGGAAAAAAAAAGACACTAGATTCCAAATTATTAAATTACCTTAATGTTCCACTGTAGGCACTAGCCACAAAAAGCCCTGGCACTCCTGGAAAATCGTGGAGAATATCCACCACTAGGTATGGCATTAGCTGAAAGATTCAGAATATGAAATATTACTGTTCCTACTTTTTTTTGTCACTGTATTATTTTTGTTATAGCCTTCCCACTGGCATTCTGCCCAGCTCTTCTAATTTTGAATGCCTCACTGTGCACTATTTATTGGTTTTCTACAGAGAAAAGCAAACATAAAACATGTACTCAAGATACAGCAAAGTCAGCTTAGACCATCTAGCAGATGTGACCACAGAGCTGCGCCATCAGGCTTGGCTTCCAGTGACACTTGAACCAGAAGCTAGCACTAGGCAACAGGTAGCCTATATTTTACATCACTCTGTTGGACTTGGGTGTCACAGAAGACGCCGATGTCTGCTGCTGACTCTACAAAAAGGTTTTAGATACAGTCCAACAAACTCAGGGTAGCTGAGAACAATGACCTTATTGGAAACCGTGTGTCATTTGTTGACCTTTGCAAGATGTGAGTGCTGCAAAGAGAGGAATTTTAACATTTTCTTCCCAGGAACCACTTTTTTTTTCACAGATGAATTAGTTTTTTCTGCATCTTGCTTTCAGTTCCCACCAAAAGAATTGGACTGACAGAAACAACTTTATTTCCTTGAGGTTTCCATCTCGGTTTCCAGTATCTCATTTAATTCTACCCTTAAAGACCAGGTGGTCCATTCTCAGGTATCCTGTTGTCTGTGCTCTTTTCCCAGCTTTCCAGCTATGGTCTGTGGGGTATTACCCAGAGTCTATGATTATCCCAGGCATAAACATACAAAAAGCCCCCAAAACCAAAACAACCAAACACAAAGTCCAACAACAACAACAAAAAAACAACTTGTATGATTTCCTTGGGCCCTGACTCTGGTCAGTCCTTGGGCTCCCAGAGCTCCTGTCCCTCAGTCAAATCTGCTACTCAGGGCCACTGGAATTTACAAGGTCTTTTCTCCACAGCATGGTACAACACGATTTAATTGCCCAGCTCTTCTCTGAAGGAGGGAAGGATACACCACCACTGGCCAAGATCCACCTGCTGGTTGCCTTCTTTCAGGTGTGTGCTTTAGGTACAATCATGTTTCAAATCCGAAAAGGCTTTCACCTCTCTTGGCACAGAGCAGTTTTGATCAGCTCACCTGGCCCACAGTCACTCATGCAGGCACTGCTGTTTCAGCCGTCCCCGGCAGCACTCTCTTCCCCTCGCTTCTCTCTGAAGTGCCATTTCAGGCACTGCTGGCCTCATTTTGGGTGAAAACCCCAAATATCTGCAGAGGTGGGTGGACTGAGCACTCTCCACATTGGTGCTCTCCATGCCACCCTCCTTACCTGCCACTGAGTGACCTGCAGCTCTGAGACAGCTGTAGGACAGCAACGATGACACATCTGCTGCTTTCTCCAGGGTATTCCTTCCTGCCATGGTCTCATCTTAATCTCTCAGTGTTATAGACTCACCTGATATGGGACTTGTGCATGTTATTATACCTAACCACCTGGCTCTTGAACCCTCCCAGGTCTGGTTATTATGGCTGCAGAGGACGGATGGCCCTTCACCACCCTCCCCTGAAACGTGGGTTCCTACCTGGTCAAATGCTGACACCTTCTTTGATGTCCACGGGTCACAATCCTTGTAGATGGAGTAGAGGGACAGGCCACACAGCGTGGCGGAGGTCAGGATCACCCAGAGGCCCACCAGGTTGATGTAGAGAGACCTGCACCAATACACACAGAAATACCATGTCAGAGCTTGACGTCCAGTAAGAACCTGCCAGGGCTGAGTGAGAAAACACCAGGACCTAGGAGACCTCCTGGTCTGCAGCTGCCCGCTGGGAAGGGAGTCACGATACAGCTCCCACAATTTCACCTGGTGTGAGATGACGTTTTTAAACACAGGAATTAGACTTCTGGTATTGGTGGTATGGTCTCTGAGTGCCCATCCTCTGACAAAGTCTGCTTGGAAGATGATGGGAGTGATATGGCAATCACTACATGTCATCATGTGCCTGAGTTTTACATTGCAGGCAGCTGGCCAGAAGACACTCTCACACCCCTTGGTAAAGACAAACCCCTGACACATTTGTAAAGCAGGGTGCCCCAGATAAAAGTGTGGGGTACCTTTTAGTCAGCAGCAACATTCTTATACAAAAAATTCCCCATTTCTTCCCAGGACAGTATCTGTGAGAGGCAGCAATGAGGACTTGGGACCTGATCTGGAGACACCTGTCCTTGCCCAGTAAGGACTTTTTTCTTCTACCTAACTATCTGATCTCAAATATTTGTTTCTCAGCTCTTGATGACTCCTGGGTCATGAAGTTGTTCTCACCTAGGGTGATGAGTTCAAGCAAACACATTCACTGTGAGCTTGGCCTTGAAAAACAACATTCCCTTCCAGCAAATGTCTCCCAGTTATCTGTGTATCATCTGCTAATAGTGATTTACCTGCCTGACAGATCACATAACCTGGACCTGTACCAACTGCTAAGACCTCCGCTGGGAGGGCCTCTGGTTTCTCTGCAAGTATCTCCATGCTTGCCAATGCTTCACGAGGCCTTTTAATGCTTTCAGTTCCCAGAAAAGTAAGCAACATCAGCCTTTGGACTGCTCTGGATGGCCATCAGGATGAGTGAAAGTAAATTTAACTTTATAGGCCTTTTTAGGCATTGAAACAGACATTTTCATAAAATCACAGAATTGTTGAGGCTGGAAAAGACCTCTGAGATCGTCAAGTCCAGCCTATGACCCAATACCAGCACATCGGCTAGACCACAGCACTAAGTGCCACATCCAGCCTTTCCTTAAATCCCTCCAGGGACGGTGACTCCACCCCTTCCCTGGGCAGTGCATCCCAGTGCCTGAGCACCCTCTCCATGAGGAAGTGCTTCCTGAGATCCAACCTAAACCTTCCCTGATGCAGTTTCAGGCCGTGCCCTCTCGTCCTGTCACTAGTTGCCCGAGAGAAGAGCCTGACCCTCACTTGACTACAACTCCCCTTCAGGCAGTTGTGGACGATTGGAATAATACTAAAGATAAAGCTAAGACAACAGAGTTAGCAAACATACACCATTCTAGAGTAAAGGCTGATCAGAAATTACTAAGTCCAAGGAAAACAGAAGTGTCTGCCAGTTTCCATAGTGAATTCCTACAAAAAAAGTCATGATTATTATGAGAACAAAACATAAAATTCCTCAGCAATGTTATCATTGAATAAAACAATTCTGCATTTTCTCATCCTCACCAGTATGGAAAAAAACTTTGTCTTTACTTAGCAAAATTCCCACACAATGATTTAGAGTAGAGTAGCAATTCAGGATGCCATGCTGATACGGCTTCAGTGTAAGTACTATATCATTTGGTCTTTAGGTTGCATATAAACTTAATGCAGCTATTTGTATGCAAGAATACTGGCACATTCTGAAACATTCTGCTACAAAGTTCAATGTTACAGCAATTATATGTAATTCAAACACCAGCATTTATTGTGTGATTTGTCTTCTACCTGGTTCACAAAGCAGAAGGCAAAATTTGTTACCCTTTACAAACGGATTTTACACAGATAAAACCCCCTACTTTTAAAAAAAATTCCCTTATAAAGAACAGTCACTGCTAAAGTCAGACGTTAAGATTTACTGTAGGCAGACTTACAATTTTGCATGGAACCGGGTTTTGCATGAAATGTATCTCTGTACTTGAGACTGGTTGATCCCATATATGCCAGCCCACGTGAAAGCCCCACCAACAACAATCGTCCAGAAGGTGTGCCTTCGCAGAGGACTGGGATCAAAGCTACAAGAAGGAAACAAGAAAACAAATTCAGAATACAAAAACCTTCTCATTGCGAGAAGATCTTAATTCCTAGGGGAAAAATATTTCCCCGTATTTCTTCAAATTCAAACGCTCTTAATTTGGCCCAGATTTTGATCATTCCGATATTTCAATGCTATATGAAATTGCAGAAAGCAAATTGTAAAACTCAAAGCTGAAATCATGATCCAGTGAAACACTCTCATCTGTCCAAAGTCGAACTGATTTATCTGGCCGCAAGCCACCGTCTTAAGCTGCATGATGCCTGTGATGACTGTGATGAAATGATGTTCCAGTAAAAAATTTAATATGCCTGCTTATCTAGAGGGATATCAGCCTAACACCAATATATAAGTGTGCTTGCACACCCAGCCTTTGTGGACAGAGACTCCATAAAACATTTTGCTGGTTTAGCTATAAGTGAGTAACAGATATTAGATGGCCATAAATAATTATTTTTTTAAAATCACATTTTAATATAGCAACACATGATGCTTATCATGGTGAACAACGTAGTATTATTTCACCTGTTATATGCCTTTATTACTTTCCTTTTTCCATATGTAAACTCTATATTAGGGGAAAAAGCAATGCAGTATTATCACTGCAAATCAGCCAAACAGATGGAAAAAAATGACTGTTCACAAGAAGAAAAAAAAATACCCACAGGTGAATTATTTACTCAAGAACTTGGTGATGAATTTTACAGAAAAACCTCATAAATATTGTGAACTGACAGACAAAAGGGCAAAAGGCAGTACTTGTCACACTAAACTTTCACTGTTAGTGCTGGGTGTAGTTTCTCAGAGGAATCACCCATCTATTCAAAGCACAGCAACTTTTTTTGGAACTTTGATTCAACATTGTCAGAATGAATATTCTTGACCTCATAAAATGATACTTTTAGGCTAGGATTGGCTACAGTAGAAGGCAAAATATTATTAAAACTACTTCTAATTTTTTTCAGATTATATAAAAGCTATTCTTTTCCCAGTTGTTTTGGTTCAGTAGCTGAAATGACAAATCAGCTGTTTGCAAATTGTAAGGATAAATATGACTGTACTCTCCTATTCACCATTCGCCATTCACTTTCAGTGGAATCCAAAATGTATCCTTAAAATACCTATTTGACAAAATAAAAAGGTTTTTCTGTTTACAGGATTTTGTGTGGTGTAAAACCTAGAAAATATTGCCCAATCTAGTTAAGCTCGTTTAAAAATATATAAAAATTGGGTCACAACTCCTCCCCTCCTCCTCCTTCAGGAGCAATTTAATTTCACAGTTAATCACATGGGCTCTATTTGTAGAAATAGAGAGGCATCTGCAAGCGCAAACTCACTCCCAGAAGTTTAGTCTTCCTCCATAGTAGGAATCGTTTACAATGCGTCCGAATCCTCCCTGAACCACCGAAGCTCGTATAATCACAGATAAAAATCCAGCGACCATGATTCCAATCTGGAAAACATCTGTCCACACCACTGCCTTCAGACCGCCCTGCATGAGGAAGAGCACGGATCAGGTACAAGAGGGCAGCAGCACCCTTGCTCAGCACTCACATTCAACGATGAGAAATGTCCCTATCCGAATTATGCACAATAATCTAATCTTTTTTTAATAGAAGCAATACTATACTGGAGTGTTTAAGAAGTGAATTCTGGAACCTATTCAGGACATCCTGGTCTCTTTGTGAAATGCACTAGAATTTACTTTACACAGTTTAATCCTTCACCAAACCTGAAGTTTGTAACAAAAGATAAATTGGCAGACAGTGCTCATCTTACACATATACAGTGCCACTAATTCCAGAAGGCATACCATTCATGTGAATAAAAATAAACATGATTTAATCCAAAATATACTTTGTCATTGAAGATCCATTTAATAACTTTTAGACACTCGGTCAATTAACACCTATCTGAAGGCCAATTTGTTCACATGGCACTTGCTATTTCCAGTGGCTCTTTCAACAACAGACAGGACTGTAATAGTCGCAGTAAGCAGGTGCTTGAAAAATTACACAGCTAAACCCTACTAATTAGAAGAAAAATCACAGAAGGATTTTTAGGAAAGGAAATCTATCCTTTTGCTGTTCTTTCACCAACAATGGAAATTTGAATGTATCAAATTAGAAAAGGTTTGAGTTATACAGTGGCTGCCTTTGCATCCAGAGAAGTCCCTGGGTGAATACGGCCCTGTGGTTTCAGCTGTGCTGTGAGATTTTACTGGGGTAACCTGGTTTTTAGGCTACTTTTCAATAAATTCCGCATTTGATGTGAATGGTGAAAGGAACAGAGATTGTTCTCAGCTGAATGGCCTACATACCAGTGTGCAGTAGAAAGTGCAGACCAAGCCAGTTGACACCACCGAACCCCACAAGTTGAAGCCAGTGACTGAAAAAGAGGGAAACGGCACCAGTGTGAATGAAGCACTGGGGACAAAAAAACTGAAGATCAATTTTTCACCCCCAATCTGGCTGTTCAAAAAAAGTAGAAATAAGTAAAATGCAAAAGTAGGAGGCAAAAATGGCAACAAACAGATTAGTTAGTCAAAACCAGGGCATTCGCCCTAGCCAGTTGTAAAAATTAAACAGTTGTTACAGACATCGGAAACTGCTAAAGAAGTAAGATGTATTTCAGCATTTAAGAAGTTATTTGTCTTTAATGTGAACACTGACAAGCAACACATTGAATATGTTCTGAGGCCTCATAAAATACATGTCTTTCCCTGAAGCACCTGGGTAGTCCCCACAGAGTCCTCAGGCAGGGATTCAAGGAAGTAAAGAGCATGCGGATGCTCCTCGGAGGCAAGATGGTTCAAGCATTGTCTGGAAGAAATGTGTCAGACTAAAAACCTTTATTTTATTCTTTCATGGAAACATGATAGTATGACTATGCTAGACCACACTGTCCTGTGGTTGCAATACAGGCTGTTGCTGCCCTAGCTTGGCACACTCACGTGCTGCCAGGCAGGGCACTCGGGGGCTCCCTGACAAATAGCTTGGGCTCATGAGAAACCCCACAACAAAACTAATGAAAAACTCTGCTTCTAGGTGGGACCCAGCTTGGTTTAGCACGTATTTTTGCATGGCAAACATAAACATCAAAGATATAAAACAATTGTGATTTTCATTCTAGCCAAAATGATTCAATTTTTATTTGTATTTTGTTATTGCCTTTTCTTGCCAAGTGGACTCATTAATTGTGGCAGATTAAAAGTTTCACTTGGCTCCTCATAAAAGCTTTTTTCACCCTTTAAAAATAAATGTGGCTCAAAGTAAAGATTCATTTTGAAGTAGAAAATGGAAATATTTCATTTTGTAAATATCACAACAAACATCCTAAGTCAAAGACTTCTTTGCTGTTGATTTGGTTTTGCTGGCAAAATGACAGGCCGAGTTAAACAGCTCCAGGCAGCCTAAGTCTGTATTTACAGAACTTTTGTCTTGCTCCTCGCTTGAGCACTTAACCAGGGAAACTGAATGTATGTTTAGTCTCTGCGTTGCCTTCAAAATTTTCTGAATGTAGCTATTACCTAAGCATACTGCAGGAGAGGTAAACGACAGAAGGACTGCCCCTTGAGCCTTTTCTATACTTCGTTACAGGGAGAGATTAAGGGACCAGGATTAGAAATAGGAGGTCTTCTATCAGAGTTCCCATCAGGATCAACAGAAATTGTAGAAGACTTCACAGTCGTCAAGACTTGAGCTGTATTTTCAGGTGTTCATTGCTGATAAAAACCATACCAGTACCATATGCTGAAAACATTGTAACAGTAGAAGAACGGTTGGAGTACACTCATCTTACCTTGATTTAGTGCTAAAGCTGGAGCATAAATGACAATACCAGTGTATAAAATCTAGAAGGGGAAAAAAGATATAATATCAAAATGAATGCAAACTACTGGAAAGGTGATAGCTTTCCAAGATGCTTTCTTTTCAAGCATTTATGCAGTCTGTATTTCCTAAATTTGTCTAACTGTTGGAAAATAATTCCAACCGTTAGAAGATGAATACCTGAGACTAACCAGCACTGCAGCCCAGTGTTCTTAAAACAAATACCGGGGACTTAAATGCCAAATCCCTCTTCAGCTTCTCCTGGCTTTTATAATTAACTTATTGCTTTAAAACTGCAGTCTTACAGCAGAAACAAGAGCAAAAGGAACCTGACAGAAGTTTACACTGGTTTGTCCAGAATCTACTACAACTTATTTTTTCAGTGTTGGGATCAATATGCCTCTCACTATGCAACTATAATGCACGTGAGTAAGAACAAAAAGTACAGCATAAGTTAGTTATTATGGATAGCATTGTAAGGAATTACACTCCTGTAAGATGAAGCCATGCACAATTATCAGCAGGTTTGTATTCTAACCCAACACAGTAAAGATACAGGAAAAACAAGGATCTACTCCACCCACTTCTATGGGCGCAATGGGATTCACAGGCTGATATCCTCTATAATTTCTCTGTGTATATTTTTAAAACCTGATTGCGTTTTTTACCATGCCAATATTCACAGAACAGTTAATATTACACCATTAAGATCTTGCAGGGTTTCCTCTTCTCACTATTCTTTTCATTATTCAGGTTAAGTTGTTAGTGCTTGGCACAGAAAGACACCTACAGTTCATTTCCTTGAGCACACATTTAAGTTGTACAGAAGTCTTTTCCTGGTCTTTGCAAGCAAAGATTATGCTTGGCTTGTTCCAACTTACGCAATGGTGATGTCTTCATATTTGCTGGTGAAACGGTGTCAGGATTCACACATGCTAGCACTCTACTTTTCCTATGGGCTTCTGTATCTATAAATGCCAGCTAAGTAGCACTGTTTTAGTAAGTCAGCACTTCACTGACCACCACCTTATTGGCTCAAGTGTGGTTGCCCTGTAACTCCTGGTATGTCTTAGAAACTAAAAAAAAACAGGCAAAAGGCAAGCACACAATCTCAAAAGCTTTCTGATTGCATATTCCTTCTTGTTTTGAATTCCCCAAAAGGTCTATTACAAAACTGAAAAAAACCCGTACTTCTGTTTCTAGTTCACTTTCCACATGCTCACAGTTAAAAGCTGTGCTCTCATACTACTACCTGAATGGGCTGGATACAGCAAATTGCACCAACCATAATTTTAGGGATTGCTAAATTTTAGGGATAGCAAATGGTACCACTCAAGGTGGTACTATTAATACCCAAGGCAGTACCATTTGCTACTTCTCTGTTCACAGACACTCATTTTTTCCCAGTGATGGCGTGCAGTAAATGACAGTTTCTGATAGCTTATTCTGTCATCTTTCACAGACCTTTGAAAATTAGTCAGACTCCCCAAATCCACGCACTGGTGCTGCTGTAGCTACCTGGGGCACATTTAGATTTTGGACCAATTGTGGGTTTCTCCAGCAGGCAGGCAAGGGGCTGCTGTTCACACTCTGCCCTGCAGTGAAGGATCTTAGCACACCGCTGGTGCCAAGTGACTGCTCAGGGTGCTCAATAACGCACACAGAGACACAAGAGGCAGGTAGCCCAGCATCTGCTCTCCATCTCACTGCTTTGGAGCAGAAAAAGCTTTGTTTCTCCCGCTCTCAGCCCCCATGCACTGTGGTAAGTAACCTCATCAATTGTTCAGAGAAAACAGACAGTTACAGATCGAGAATCTTGTTGGCTATGAGGACCGCAGATCAGCTTTGAGGTTTACTTGCCGTTTGTATAGTGAAGAGGACTGTTCCACAGAGGCGCAGGTATTTATTAAACCGAAGCTCTAAATACTGCAAAAGAGAAGAAAAAACAAATGTTTACACTGAAACTTGGCACTGTTGATAGGACTACAGTGAACCAACAAGCAACACCGAAAGGGCATAGTGTCATCTTTACATTTTCATGAATGGCCAAAACTCCTACAGTCACCTTGACTGCTATCTCTTTCAACTTGATTTGACAATTCTTTACAGATCTCACCACCAGGTAATAACAAATGAGCAGGCAAAGTAGACATTAGCTAGTCAGTATATGACAGAGTCTGCAGAATGGAAACTGGTGCTACTCAGGTGCCTCAAGGCAGTCAAGAAACAAGGAGCTCAGCACCACGACCTGGCAAAGACCAGCACGTATTATGACAGAAACTGAATATGCTGAGTTAGAAGGGACCCACGAGGATCATTGAGTCCAACTCTTGAATCCACACAGGGCAACCTAAAAGTTCACAATGATGTACCAGCAAACAACATAATCCACTTGCATTGTGAAGTCAGAAAGAAAAATAAAACATTATGGCTATTCCTAAGCCTTAGTCGATTTATAAACTCTCTCATTATATGTGTCCATCTGGGCTGCTATGATAGAGAGCAGAAGGTTTTCAGCGGTCAGTGGTTTCCTCCCACAGTAACCTCACCATACTCTACCAGCAAGTGGAAATCCAGCCACTTGCAAAACAGGAACCCCCACTTTTCTATCTAGCCTGGGACTGTATGACCTCTGAATGAGTTTCTCATGCTGTAGGGAAGATTTCTTCCCACCATTTGTCCTAACAAACCTCTAGGGTGTGGCATTGTACAAAACGGATCTCTTTTGCCTATTCAATCAACACAAACACTGAAGTATCTCAAAGTGCTCGCTCCTGAATCGCACATTTGAAGCATCATCTGTGAGAACGGCCACAAAAGGAAGCAGTGCTAAACCCCTGGACTGACACAAAAAGTTGTTTAATCTCTGAACTCTGTCCACAAATATAAGTTATACCTTTTATAGGTGCGTTACTCTGATTAAACCCCAAGATTATCAGTGAGTTTACAGTCATAATTATAATCTTTATTTAAAAGATATCTATTTTAAGTATCATCATAACTGACAATCAAAAAAGTTAGTAGTTAAAAGCCACTGGAAGCCATCAGATATTTTCAATGGTGAATTCTTATCTAAATCTACCAAAATAAATCTTGTTTTCAGACTCCAGTGCTTCAACACTCTTGTTCAGTGTAATAAAATGATAGACCAACTTTAACCTGCCAACTTTCTTTATCTAGCCAACTTTAACCTGCACCATTTCCCCTTTCCCAATGTCCTCTGTGAAAAGAGCAATTTTCCCCCAAAATCTGCAGCTAGGAACAATCTCCGTGCAACAAGATAAACAGGTTGCACAGACCTTCTAAATCAGAAGAAAGTCCTGACCACATGTTTCCTCACCCCAAAACAGTCAGACTCGACCTGTGCCTATCCCATCAAGCCAGATGTCTCTTCACTGCTAGCTATAACTTACACTGAGCTGAAGACCAGCTCAGACATACCACGGTGGAAGTAAGAAAACTCAACTCACAGACACAGAGCATTTGCTCATGTCCCTGTACAAGCACGATGGAGAAGACATTCACCAGTGTGAACAGCCTCAGGTGGAAATGGTGTATTCTCAAAACCTCTAGCTTCTCAAAACCTCTAGAAACAGCACAAACATATACTTGGAGAGGCATATCTGGAGGCAGCGCTATGTGAGAACTCTGTTTCCTATGTCAGATGTATATTAATTACTCATCATTAACCACATGTCACCATCTACACTGCACAAGGATTAACCTTGAACTGATGATCTGGAGCAATGAACCCATCTAACATGATTTGAAACAATTTGGAATGAACACTATCACAGTTCAGATAGCCTAGTGGGAGGTGCCCACCCATGGCAGGGGGGTTGGCCTAGAGGATCTCTAAAGTCCCTTCCAACTCAAACCATTCTGAGTCTAGGGTTCTATCTATGATTCACGCCTCCTCAGCCAAGACAGCAGGGCTGAGCATCTCCTCTTTGTGGAGGCTGCACGGGTAGACTGTGGACAAAGCAGGCTGCAGCCTGCTCTTGTGAGTGGAGAGACACAGGGCAGTACAGACTGCAGGGTAATTTGTGGGAAGAGACATGTAGAAAGCGGGCATGAGAAGCCCCCAGCTCCCTGAAAATTGTGGAAATGTTTGTTCCGCTCCACCTTACCTCGTAGGTGCTGGTGATGCCCACCCTGTAGAAGACCGGCAGGAAGATCTCAGCGCTGCACAACACCATCAGGGTGTAGGCAATGGCAAAGATGCAGAATATGGCACCGAAGCGGTACACCTCGGCGGGGGTGCCCAGCACAGTGATGGCTGACATGAAGCT